CCTGTATGCACAGCAAAGAAACCTTCCCAGCAGAGTTCACCCTCTCCTTTCCTGCCACGAGGTAACACCCAGTTAAAAGAACTTGATTAGCCAAACTAGAATCCTTTTGGTAACTGTGTCTAGCCATAGGATAACCACCTGTACCTTGACAAGAAAACTGATCATTCTGGTGGGAGACCTCATTCTTGTATCGGCGTTAATGTGACTTTTCTTCTTTCCGGTGAGCCCAAACTTTTCTCTCCTCCCCAGACGATGGTGTTCTTTTGTGAAAAATAGAAAAATGCGAGAAAATAAAAAATAAATGTATAAATCGATAAATCGTACGATAAGAAAACAAAATAGAATAGAAAAACACAACATTCTGTGCAGACAGCAAGAATCCCCATGAGGAACTGTCTTGCTTGGAGCCTTGCCAGTGTGGCGTTTAATACACGCCTGCACCACTAAGTAGACCTGCAGCGACTTCCCCGGGTGATTTTTTTTTTCTTTGCCACGAGAGACCCCACTTCACGTTTTGGAACAATCCTACAGATCGTGAGACTGGCAAAAGGTGACAGAGGGGCCCAAGTGGAAATGAGACACAGCAGCAGCCCGAACCCTGCTTGGCCTTCACTGAGTAGGATTAAACTGAACTAATTGGACAAAGACGTAAGGCAAGACGTCTGGATCTCCGGAAGGGGTTAGGAAGACTTTCGTTATCTTGCCCATGGTAATGCATCGGCATAGCTGATTTAGAACAAGTCACCTGAAGAGGAGGTGAATTCCAAACGCGCTGGGAGAAATGGATTTTGCTGAATGAATCCTCCTCACTCTCCACACAGTGAAGAGGAAGAAAAACCCTTTAGGCAAGAAACTATGAGGCAGTTGGGAGCATTTAGTGTTGATTGGGTATCAGAGCACTGTGAAAGAGGTAATCAATACCTGAATTCCAAATAGCAACTTCATCCCATCTGGAACTAGGCCAAATGCTGTGCAAATGGCCTGGGGCCACCCACTGGTAGGAGTGAAGGAAAGAGATTTAAAGTAGTGGGTACTCCTGACAGTTAAGCGATTAAGTTTCCCTTTATTTGTGCTTGAGTTGGCTATGTCAACATTTTTTAACAGATGCAGAACCAGCCAAAGGTCAAAATGCTTAATAAACTGCAAAAGTCTACAAAAAACCCAAAACACGTACATACAAAACCTGTTGGATTTTGTTTTCTAGCTACTATTTTCCAATTCATGGTTATGTATTAAAAAGCTTAGGTGACTCCTGTGCTACCAATGTGTCACTGGCCCATCTCAGGTAAGTCATTATAGCTTCTATACCTGAAGACCTCTGCTCATCTTGTGATCCTATCAAGATTCAGGTGTCCTTGAGGAATCAACACTCAGAACTCAGCTCAAGAGGAGGGCTTGTCAAACTCCTGTGCCTTCAAATCAGCTGGGCAATCCTGTTAAAAGATTCTGACTGCTTGGGTCTGGCATGTGGTTTGAGAGTCTACATTTTCTAACAGGCTCCCAGGCAAATGTCAAGGCTGGTCCAGGGATGGACCACACTTGGAACAGCAGGGCTTTGGGCTACACAGTCTGTGACCTGAGTTCTGTTTTCAATGATAGAATTTCTGAGGACGTGGCTTCAAAATGTAACTGGTTAGACCAGTTGTCAGGAGCAGTGGTTCTCAGAGTGTGATCCAGGGACTAGTGACATGGGCATCACACGGGAGCATGTTAGAGATGCTAATTTTCTGGTTTCTAAACCAGAAACTCTGGGGGGTGGGAACCAGTAATCTATGTTTTAAAGAAAATTTGTTTTAATGTTTATTCATTTTTGAGAGACAGAGCGCCAGCAGGGGTGGGCAGAGAGAGAGGGAGACACAGAATCCGAAGCAGGCTCCAGGCTCTGAGCTGTCAGCATAGAGCCCGATGCGGGGCTCAAACTCACGAACCGCGAGATCATGACCTGAGCCCAAGTCAGAGGCTTAACTGACTAAGCCACCCAGGCGCCCCAATGTTTTGATAAGCCCTCCATGTGATTCTGGAGGAACGGTGCTCCAGAACATTAAAATCACCTGGGGAGGGGCGCCTGGGTGGCTCAGTGGGTTAAGTGTCTCACTCTTGATCTTGGCTCAGGTCATGATCTCATAGTTCTTGAGATCGAGCCCTGCATGGGGACTGTTTAGAACTCTCTCTCTCCTCTCTCTCTCTGCCCCTCCCCCCGTGCTCTCTCTCTCAACACAAATACATAAACATTTTTTTAAAAAATAAATGAAATCACCTGGGGAGTTAAAGAAAATCAAGACCTGGGTCCCATCCCAGAGAATCTAACTTTTTCATTCTGGGGTGGGGCTCGGGCATCGGGATATTCCAAAGGCATCCACGGAGATCACTGTCAAGAATAGTTGGCCTAGAACAGAAAACTAATCCTGCTGCATGCAGTAGGAGACTTAGCTGGAAAGCATCTGACTGAACCACCACAGACTGGTCGCAGGCTGGATGTCTGTCTGCACAGTATGCACTCCACCTCTCCAGGGTGACTGTGTCCGAGTGGGGATAATGCAAAATCACTTCCTCACTGCTCACCCTGCCATCCACCCTCATCCCTGGCTATTGTCTCCTTTTGCTCGTGATGTGTCTGGCTGGAACCCACCCCCTTCCCCCCCCCCCCCCACTGCTGTGCTGTCACCAGTTGAAAGTTTCACCCATCGTTAAAAGCCAGTATCAATCCAGATCTTCAGAAATCCCTTCCTGAACGCTCTTGCCAGATGAGATTTACCCATCTGTAGATGTTCACCGCATGCTGTCTGCAAGTCTTATTTTCTTTTTCTTTTTTTAATGCTTATTTATTTTTGAGAGAGAGACAGAGCGTGGTAGGGGAGGGGCCGAGAGAGAGGGAGACACAGAATCCAAAGCAGGCTCCAGGCTCTGAGCCGATGGCACAGAGCTTGAACTCACGAACCCGTTGAGATCATGACCCGAGCCGAAGTTGCGCGCTTAACCATCTGAGCCACCCAGGTGCCCAAGTCTTATTTTCTTATACTACCTACATTTCTTGACTCTTGCCCTCTGCCGAATTGTAAATTCTTGGACACCCAGGATGGCATAGCCCTCAACTTTGCACCTCTTCTGTCAGTGTAAGTGCTTCACTGTGAACCTAGTAGGCACCCAGTAAACACCTCCTTGAATCTGGGATCAGAGCTCCTGGGTTTGAGGCTTGCCTTTGCAATTAGGGCTTGTGATCCAGGTTGTTGGATATCTCCTAGCCTCACTTATCTGCAAAATTAGGATGTTGAACTAGATGATCTTTTAGGGTATCTTTCAAATCTCAGATTTGATGGTTCCGTGTAGTCTATGCTGATTCCTGGAAAAAGAAGTCTGATACTGGCTGCTGTTGGCCGCTGGGTCAGCGATGGACACAGACAGATGGGGTCTCTTTCCTCTCCTTGTGTTTCTGGGCTGCGCTGTGACTTGACTGCACCCGAGGGGGCACTGTGGCAGTTCTGGGCACAGGGAATGGGTGTGTCAGGCAGGGCTGGAGTGAGGTAGGGGGAAAGAAGGTGAGGAAGAAATTTGGAACGTTGGGACCCCAAAGGAGGACCTTCAATCTTGGCTTTACGAACATCTGATGTCAGACACCTGAACTGTTCTGTTGGAAGACTGGCCATCTTCCCGGAGAGACCATATGGAGAGGTCTTGGGTCTACGTGGAGAGAGACGTGCCCCGCAAATCCAGCCTTAAAGCCATCCCTGCCAAGGTGCCAAGTATGCAAGTAAAATTGTTTTGGACCCTCTGCATCAGCCACCACTAGCCACAAGCCACTGCGTGATCCCAAACCATCTGGAGCAGGAGAATCACCCAGCTGAGCCCTGCCTCATTCCTGATCTACAAAGTCACAATACATAATGAAACAGTTGCTGTTTAGGTCACCAAGTTTAGAGGAGCCTGATTAGGCAGCAATAGATAACCAGAACATAGCATTACTCTAGGTGACATTCTATGCACTTTAGCAAGCAAATACTCGACAAATGTCGGAGAAAATACACATACATACATACATACATACATCACATGGGCTTGGAAGAGTGCAAGCCATTTTGTGCTATTCCCACTGACTGATTCCATGAGGCAGTTAAATGGGCTGTGGATACATTTCGAGAGCAAAATGCACAACCGCCGACAACAAGGGCCTCCCTGACAGCTGTGTGCTCATGATGCGGCACCAGGTGCGATGTTGGGACTTGTTAGTCACAGAAGGAGTCAGGGAATTGCACAGAGAAGGTGGAGCCCTTACAACAAAGAGGGCTTTGTCTGCTCCTGAACACAGTGTGGCCATCTCCTGGAGGGGGGCGGCGGCGGCAGGGGGGGGGGGGGGCGGATGTTCAGTGTAGGGAGAGATCTGCAACTTGAAAAGGGGGATATTACTTTCTCCTCTCCCCGACTAATGTAAACCTCCCCCGAGATCTTTTGTGCAGTTATAATAGGGACACCTTCAGAATCACAGCCTCTTTTTCTGAACGTGTTTCTTATGTAAATGCTGCATCAGAGAAATTTCCCTCTGCTTTACACTTGAATTCTGCTTTTAAAACCTGCAAAAAAGAAACACAGAGAAAGACACCTTGAAAATACTTTGGGTTTCATCTCTTTTCCATTTTTACCTCAAGCTCCCACAGTTTTTTTTTTTCTTCGTCTTAATCCTTGTTCTTCAAGTCAAGCATATTTTAAAAGCATCCTCTGTTGAACTGGGTAAAGCAAAAAAAAAACAAAACAAAAAAAACAAAAAAAAACGGATGATACCGGTACATTTAGGCTGCCTGAATATACCAGAAATACAAGGCACTTGATAGTGATCTAATAATCCTTAGAATGTCACAGTGAAGTCACAGTGAAGAGCAGGGGAGTCAAGGGACGTTTAAAGAGGTGGCATCGGAGGCCTCGGTGCACCCCTCCCCAAAGCCACAGAGCTTCTGGAGGCAGCACTAGGGAGAGGGGAAAAAAAGCCCAGAATCCGTAGGTATCTCTTAGGAAGGTTTTCTTTTGTTCCCTGTCTCCCTTCCACTTCCCCACCACCTATCCCTAGGGCGGACCCACCACCTGTTTAGTGGTTTTGACTCGCCCACAGCGCCCCCATAGGGCAACTCTCAGACTGTCATACACCGCCTTACTGTACTGATTCCTTCACACCTATTCACCTGCTTGGGAACAGCAGCGATGATTCCGTGTCCGTATCCCTGCACACAGCAAAATAATAACAACGCACTTAATGGATGAATGGGTTTGGATTCCAAGTCAACTTACTAGCACCACTTTTCTTGGGCAAGTTCTTTCCTCGTGAAGACCCGGGTTTCCTTCTCTGTGAGATGGGGAGACTAACAACCACCTCCCTGGTCGTTGTGAGGAATCAAGGGGGTAACACTTGTGACGGGCACGGCAGCACACTGGAGGCACGCAGTAGGTCCACAGGTCAGATTCAGTGACTCTCTCCCAGACCCGCCGACAGATGGAAGGAGCCTAGCCTCTGTGCGGCAGGGGCGCCGGGAGGTACGCTGCCCCCAAGGTACCGCTCCGCATTCCTGGCTGTCCCTTAAACCCATTCCCTCAGGGACCTGTCCTGTAACCTGAGGCTCAGATGCTGCTTACAAGGCAGATCTCAGGGAGGGAGGAGAAGGGAAGCGCTTCGGGCTGGTCATCGGTCACTGAAACCTCAGTGTGAACTAGTCCCCCATCATCCTTCCAATGGAGGAGTGAGGTAGACAGGACAGTGAGGCAGGGGTGGGGATGGAATACGGAGAGGGTGAGGAGGGCGTTGGGAATGTTGGGGCGCAGAAGAATCCGGAGCGGCTGCCTGGTACACGGGGAAACATTGCCGAAGTCAGAGAGAGATCAGGGTTCAAGTCTGGACTTTTCCAGCTGCTGGAAGTGTGGCTGGAGGCAAGGTACTTAAGCTGTTTGTAGTTTTCTGATCTGTAAAATGGGGCGGATACTAGCTAATTTGGGGGTACGTCTGAGGGTAGAGGGAGGCAACCTGGAAAGGGCTTAGTCGGTGGTGATCGGGAGGCGCGCTGGGCGCCGAGGACTGGGCCCTGCAGGCTGGATTCACCACCGAGCAGCAGGAGGTGGCCCCTCTAGATTGCGGTTACCGGTTCCCTTCTCTCGGCTGGATCTCCCGGGCTCTGCTCTTTGTCTGGGGCCAGCTGTGCCCACAGTGACAGCCACCTACATTCATTCGTTGTGAGAGAATGCACCTTCTCCCACCTCCCACCCCGAACGGGGAGCAGAGGCGAGCCTACGATACTCTTTCCTTCCAGCTCCAGGAAGGAAAGGGTGAAACATTCCACGGTCCCCTAGAACGCTGGGAGAAAACACCGGTAGGTGGGAGGCACTTCAGCGGCGGGGGCGTGGGGGGCGCCGCGGGCGGGGGCTGCGGCGCGGGTGCGAGCGGGGCGCGTCCCCTGCCCCCGGGGCGTCGTTAAAACCCCGCTGGCTCCTTCCCCGCCCCTCGGTCCCCGGCGCAGTCCTCCGGCCACACCGGTTTTCTCTTCCCACCCCAGCCCCTCCCACCGCTCCTGTGCCCAGTCTCTGCGTGCGCGAGCCGGGGACCGCGGCCCCCACCGCTGGTGGGGGACAAGGGGACCGCGGGGGCGAGGGAGGCAGTGAGGGCGAGGCCTCTGCCATCCCTCTCCTCGCCCCACCCCTGGCTCCTCCTCCTCTTCCTTTCTCTTCCCCCCCCACCCCCACCCCCAATTACACCCTTTCTCCCGGTGCGCTACCTCCTTCTCTCCCAGCTCCTACAGCCTCCCGGTCTGGACCGCCCCAGGGGGAAGGCCAGTGCCGTGGACCCCGATCCCAGCACCCCGCTGACCTATTCTCGCTTTGCAGTGAGAAGGAGCTCTAAAGACCACTCTGCCGCAGGCCCCGACCGACAGGTCCCAGTCGGCCTGCGCCTGCTGCTGAGATCCGCAGCCTGCGCCCCTCTCCCGGGTACTCCACGCCCCAGGCACTGCCCTGTGTGCCCCGTCTAGGGTGGCCCCCAGGCCCGGTAAACTAGACAGGCTCGCAGTCCCCACCTCTGAGAGCCACATGTTGGGGAAAAAGGGAACAGTAACAAAGCGAAGTCGCCGTCCCCGCCTGCCCCTGGGTACAGACACTCCACGGAGCTCACGTTGTTCCCTGGGCCCGGGAGCGGGCAGCGGGGGAGGGGGTAGCTGGAGTGTCGGGGTACTGCACCGCGATGGATGGAACTGGAAGGGAGCCTCTCACACTAAGACTGCGGGTCCTTCCGGCGAGGCCGGGCCCCAGAGCAGAGTGGGGCCTCATCCAAATTCAACCTGACACTCTAGAAGCCTTTGACATTTCCTCTGCGGGAAGAGGCTCCACCATAGGTCACATTGCTCTAGGAATGGGGAAAAAAAATCGTGATCTGAACTGCGGTGGAGAGTGTTTACCCAAAATCTTATTAAGGTTTATTTTTAGAGCCTATGTCGGCTGGCCTTATCACCAGAGACAAATTCTAGAGGGGTCTCTCTGTTCTCCTGACCTTTAAGAAAAGACTTCAAAGATGAGGGACAAGCAGGGAGAGGCAGGCTCTGTCCTGGGCCGGGTCCACCACGCAGCCGGTAATGCCTGGCCGGTGGGAATCCTTTCCAAAGGGTGAAAGGCATTGTCCAGCCCTTCTTCCAAGCCTAGACACCACAAAAGACAAGTCTCCCTACCCACTCCCATCCCATTCCGGCACTGTCCTGCCTCCAGCCGACCTTGGGAAAAGGCCAGACTGACCTTGGGGGTCGTCTCACAATAACAATTACTAGGTGCCATTACTGTCCACAGGCTTCCCCTACAGTAGCTCTTTTAATTCTCGCCTTAGTTCGGTCATTATCCCCATTTTACAGATTGAAAAAGGAAGGCACAGGTGTTGAAGCAATTCCCCGGAGGTCACAGAGCTTTCGGATTGTTCTCTTCAGCACAACAGAGTTCTGGCCTGGAGGCACCCTGCCCCAGCCCTCAGGGGCCAGAGAGCAGTCTGGAAGATGGCCACACCCTGGCAGAGCTGGCCACAGGCCCCGAGGCAGGGCCTCAGGCGGTATGGATTGCTGCAGCAGAGGCAGGGACTTGGCAAGGCACTGGTTGGAGCCGTGCCCAAAGCTGCCTCTCCCTGCCAGGCTGCAGAACCCATCTCCCACGTCTGCGTCCTGAACGGCCACCGCTTTCCTGGGACCCCACCAGCAGCTGGGTGTCTCCCTCTCCATCAGACTCCAAGGAGTCACGGTTTTAACGGCCCTCGGTTCGCCCAGCTTTGCGGAGGGGGTGGGGGAGGATGTGGAAGGTCTGAGTGAAATCCCCAGAGACCTAGAGGGGTGGCTGGAGAGTGGCTCAGAGAGTGACTTGACTCCCCACTGTGAACCAATCAGAACGACTGGGGTGGGGAGGGCCCTCCCCCAGGAGTTGTGCCCCCCTGGGGTTGGGGGGAGGAGAGGCTTGATTCAAAAGGAGATGGGGGGGGGGTGGTGGTGGGATGCTGAAATTCATAGAGGGAGGGACTCAGTCCTGCCCTGGCTCTGGGGACTCCTCGGGCACCGTCCTTTCTTTGGCTCAAAAACTGCCCCATACCACATGTTTGCCAGCTCCCTCTGATGTGGCCAGGGGAGGAGGGGGGTGGGGAGGACAGTCCCCATGGCCGGAGCAGAGCAGGGGAGAAGAGCAAAAATCCGTGGGAGTGCCAGGAAAGCTGGAGGGGCTGTCTCCTTTCCGGCAGGAAGGAAATCAAGGCCACAAAGAACTAAACTGCCTCCTGGTGCAAGGCGGGGGCGGACCACCTGGGAACATTGCCTTAGCGCAGCAAGGGAGGAGGGCCAAGGTGGGCTACAAGCCACAACTGTGTTGAGAGCCACCAGGAGAGTGTGCCCCACCTGCCCCCCACATGTGGCTATACAGCTATGTCCCTCCAGCCTTTCAGTTTTTCATGCCAACTTTAACATACTTTGTGTCCACACTGGAACATACCCATATTTGGACATAAGCCCCCACACGCATCCATACTGGTGGGCAAAATAAAACACAAATGTAGCCATTAGTGAAGATCACCGTCGTGAGATACACATTTGTCCTTTGACACGGAGACAGGCTCAGCCCCAGAGATATACCCCGACAGACTCCAAGACATGTCAACTGGGCGTTCCTAGGGAGGGTCACTATGGCCCACTGCTGGCTACGCCCAGACAGCTGGCCCCAGAACCCAGTATCTGGCACCTCCATGGCCACAGCTCAGTTGTTCAAACCAAGGCTGGTCTGGGAAGCTCTGAGAATCCGAGGAATTGCTCTGGAGATACTGGGCTTCCTAGAGAGGTTTCAGACACTCAAACTGTGGGGTCACCTGAGAAGCTCTGGGAGCGTCCTAGAGGGAAAGGAAAGTTTTATGTAACTTTGGCCTAAAACTTCCACGAGGTCAGTGCTGATCAACAGTGCTCCTCGGCCCCACGGCGTCCCCTGGCTTGGGTGCCAAGGATCACGGTGCCCCTAGTTTGCTCCGTGTGTAGATAGATCCACACAGGAAAAGCACGGACCTGGAGGCTGGATAGTGCGGGTTAATAGCACAAATTATGGAGTCAGATGGCTGGGTCTGAATCTGTGCTCTGCCACTTACTGTGTGACCCTGGGCAAGTTACTTAACCTCTCCGGGCTAAGCTTCCTCAATTGTGAAATGAGAGCAATGGTAATCCTTACACCCTAGGACTATTTTAAGAATTAAATGGACACAGTTGAGCGAAGTGCTTAAACAGTACAAAGCAAGTTCTAAGAACCTGGGTAGTCCGGTGAGAGGGTCTGGGGCCCAAGGGGCAGGCAATGGGGTGTCTGGGGGGTGGAGGGTGGCCCGGAGAGAGGCGAATGGTCAGGAAATGACCACAGACCCGAGTCTCTGTGTGTCAGCTTGAGTATTCTGGAGGGAAAATAAATCAGAGCGTATTTCCTCAGGGAGCACGGTGTGCTCAGCCAGAAAGCCGCAGAACAGAGGAACATTCTCTCATTACGGTATAATATCCAAGATAATGTTCTCCTTTCACAGGAGCCCAGAGCACTTAGAGATTGCATTGTCAGAGTCCCACTTGCATGGGCCCTGGGCTGGGTGGCTGAGACTGCCAGTGCCGGTCCGCTGCTGTAGTGGGGATGACAGAACCTGGGCCACGGGCACGGTGGGCCCAGCCGCACTCAGCAGAAGGACTGTAGCCTCTGTGCTCCCGCGGCAGGTCCGCTGGCACATGGCCGACCCGTGGAGAGACGACTGCCCTTGGAGGTCCTCACCAGCTTAGAAAAGCACAGAGGCCTTGGAGGGGCTTTCCAGAAGCAGGGGATCTCTCTATGCTCACTGCACTGCCAACAGGAGAAATGGGGGGCAGGGGGTCTAGTCCTGAAAGTTGGCACTTACTTCCCGGCAGCCTTTGCAGGCTATGTCTGTGTCTAAGGTCCCCTGAGCCGGGGCAAAGCAGACAGAGGGAGACCCCACAAGCGAGGGCAGGAAATGACTTCTCTTCTGTCCAGTGCAAGCCCTCCCAAGGCTGTGGACTCTGTTTGGGTGAAGAAACCCAGGTGGGCACAACTCACGGGTGACAGCCCTCTGCCTCTTTGGTTGTTGTGCTCCAGGCTGGACCACACATGCAGGGAGAGGCGTTCTTTGTGTGAGGAGACACAGACCCACTGAAGGATTGCATGAGCCCAAAGAAATTTCAGACACCTAATGACTTGAGAGGGTCACCGAAGCAAAGAAAAGTTGCCAAAGATCGGTATGAGTCAAGTCCGGGGAAGGCTCACTACTTTTCTCCTCTTTTTTTTTTTTTTTTTTTTTTTTTTTTTTTTTACATTTATTTTTGAGAGACAGAGAGTGAGTGGGTGAGGGACAGACAGAGGGAGACACAGAATCTGAAGCAGGCTCCAGGCTCTGAGCTGTCAGCACAGAGCCCGATACGGAGCTCAAGCCCAGCAACCGCGAGATCATGACCTGAGCTGAAGTTGGACGCTCAACTGACCGAGCCACCCAGGCGCCCCTACTTTTCTCCACTCTTAAGCCAGGTTTGATGTTTCCCTTTTAGGAGAAAGACGGAAGCATGTGATTCCTGAATTAAGAAGTTCTTCACGCCCCTATTCCAGACCTCCTGCCTGCCTGGGCTCCCATGCAAGCCCTCGTGCTCAATGACTCCCTACATGCCTTCGGCGAAGAGTGGCATAGACCCATTTCCACAAGTCATGGCATAGACCCATTTCCCCCACACTGGCAACTGGCACCAGGGAACCTCATCATCTTAGCACCTTTTGCCTGGATTTCTGCAAGGTCTAGGTCTCGTATGGAAGTCATGAGACAAGACCATTGTACTCCTAGCGCTTAAGGTAGAGACAGACACGCAGCGGGTGCTCACGGCTTCTCAACTGCCTCCCTATTGCCAATGGCCAACCAGCGACGGCCCGACGGCAAAGATTTTACCACCGTTGGCCAAGTATGAATTGTGAACCAGCATGGTTCTGCGTGCTTTGTGTGCGCTGTGTCGTTCGGTGTTGTCACAACCGTCCGGGACAGGTCCTCTCCTTAACCGCGGGTTACAGATGAGGAGCCTGAGGCACAGAAAGGTTAAACGCTTTGCTTAAGGCCGCACAGCTACTAAGCGATGGGGCCAGCATTTGAACCTGGGTAAAGTCCAAGCATCTAGCTGTGAGACACAAGGTCCTTTGGCACGGCCCTCAGCCCTCTCCAGCTCCAGCTCCTGAGGTGCCCTACCTTGGGTCCCGCTAACAGCCTGTGTGCCCCGTCTCCCTGTCTCTGTCTCTGTCTCTCTGCCGAGGCTGCTGTTTCTACCTCACCGTCCCCCCGACCCCCTCCATCTCGCCACACCACACCCTTCTCCTGGCTAATACCTACTTCTCTTTCCAGATTAATTTTACCGGCCACCTCTCCTTGGCAGGCTCCCCTTGTCTGCACTCCCCAAGTCCCCAAGGCTGAGCTGGGCATCCCTCTTTTATGCCTCCATAGCAACATGTGAACACGCGTAGGGCCCCATCACTGCACAATGGCGCTTGCTGTTCCGGTGGTTTGTTTTCTCCCACACGTGACTGTCGTTCCCTCGGGACAACAAGGATGTCTTCTCCATCATGGTATCACCAGCACCTGCACCTGCACCAGCACCTGCAGACTTGGCAGGAGCACCTGCCGAGTCTATCACTTCCCCTCCTCCTCCCCCCCCCCCAACCCTTTGAAAACACGGGAGCGATCCTTAGCTCGAGGGTCACACACAAGCAGGCCGTGTGCCGCGTTGTACCTGCGGTTCACGGTTTGCCGGCTCCGCTGTCGTTGGGCAACGCGCTTCCAAACACAAAGGTTACTAGTCAGACCGATTCGGTGATTTTTCACGTGAGAGCCATACTGGCATTTCAGACCAGGGGGCAGGGGGTGGGCGGATGTTTTCGGTGGTCACAGGCACTGGGGGTAGCACGTTAGCATCGATCGGGGCCCAGAAGCTGGGATGCTGGGCATCTGGAGGTGCTCAAGGCGGTCCCACTGGGCCATCCCCTGAGGAGCACGGGCCGGCCGTTGGACGCTTCTCTCTCACTGCTCTCTGGTAGCAGTGAAACCGCCTCGGGGATTCACTGACGGGAAAGACATTAGAGAACCAAATCCATCTCAGAGCCAATTATTTAGGCAGTAGAGACAGGAGAAATGAGAATGTAAGCCTCGAGGCAAGGACTCTCTCAGGTTCTTCGTGGGATTCCTGGCACAGTGCGCAACACACACAGGCCTCCGTGTCTGTGAATGTTTCACCCGAGGAGCCTGAATGGAAGCAGGGATCACTTAAAATGGGTCAGAATCTGGCCTGAGCAGGCCAGATCCATCTGGAAGCCTGTCCCCGGCTGAGTGTGCGGGGGCGTGAGGCTGTGTGCTGGCAGGCTTCACTGAAAAGGTACCACCAAGTCACAGGCACCATGCAGTGGGGAGGCTTGGTTAGCGGTCAAGCCAGTAAGCCCAGGACAGGCTGCAGAGCTGCCCACACGACTCCCTCTCTCTCTCCCTTCGTCTCCATTAGATAGCCCGAGTTTATGCCCACATTGCTATTTAAATAACTTCGGTAAAACTCTCACATTCTCTCATCATGAAAGCTAATCAAATATCAGCCTAAAACCATTACTCAGATGCTTGTGGGCGCCTTAGGGAAATGTACCAGTAAGTACAAAAGGGTTCAATCTGCCTTCTAAATAGCTTTGACCCCAGTCTCCTACGGCATAGAGACCTTAGTTAGAAGTGGACACAGACAGAGGCGCCTGGGTGGCTCAGTCGGTTAAGCGTCCGACTTCAGCTCAGGTCATGATCTCGCGGTCTGTGAGTTTGAGCCCCGCGTCGGGCTCTGTGCTGACTGCTCAGAGCCTGGAGCCTGTTTCGGATTCTGTGTCTCCCTCTCTCTCTGACCCTCCCCCATTCATGCTCTGTCTCTCTCTGTCTCAAAAATAAATAAACGTTAAAAAAAAAAAAGTGGACACAGACGTGTGAAACTGCTTCTAGTCTCCATAAGCCATGGATTTCTTCACTCTCTTGGAGTCTTCGTTTCCCTATTCGTTAAGGCCAGAGTCACTGATCCCTTCCCAGCCTTTTTTTTTTTTTTCTGGGGGCCATTCTGGTGATCCAAAAGAGATGGGGCATGTTAAAGTCTTTCGTGAACTATAAAGCACCAGAAGAAATATAAAATCCCATAGGATGCCTTGTTTTTGCATACATCAGAATCTGATTCCTCCTAAGAATTTCTTCTGCCTCAAAATTATTCCTCTTTAGATGTGGAGAAATGGGAACCCTCTTGCACTGTTGGTGGGAATGCAAACTGGTGCAGCCGCTCTGGAAAACAGTGTGGAGGTTCCTCAAAAAATAGAACTACCCTATGACCCAGCAATAGCACTGCTAGGAATTTACCCAAGGGATACAGGAGTGCTGATGCATAGGGGCGCTTGTACCCCAATGTTTATAGCAGCACTCTCAACAATAGCCAAATTATGGAAAGAGCCTAAATGTCCATCAACTGATGAATGGATAAAGAAATTGTGGTTTATATACGCAATGGAATACTACTTGGCAATGAGAAAGAATGAAATCCTGCCATTTGCAGCAACGTGGATGGAACTGGAAGGTATTATGCTGAGTGAAATAAGTCAGTCAGAAAAGGACAGATCCCATATGTTTTCACTCATATGTTGATCTTGAGAAACTTAACAGAAGACGAGGGGGGAAGGGAAGGAGAAAAAATAGTTATAAACAGAGAGGGAGAGAGGCAAACCATAAGAGACTCTTAAATACAGAGAACAAACTGAGGGTTGATGGGTTGATGAGAAGGGAAAATGGGTGATAGGGGCATTGAGGAGGGCACCTGTTGGGATGAGCACTGATGTTGTAGGTAAGCCAATGTGACAATAAATATATTAAAAAAAAAACAAAATTATTCCTCTTTACAACAAACTAGTTATTTGCATGAGAACACAGGTCATATAGACCTTTCATTTTGGGGCCAGATGGTAAGGTAACCAAGATTAGTTCCAATTTCATAGCGTCATTTGGAAATGCCATGATGGGATTTCATAAAGCTTTAGGGTATTTGACTCTGTCTTTGATTTCTTCATGCAGCCTGTCTCCATATCAAGGGGTCTACAACTGGCTGGGCTAGGTGCTAAGATTGCTGCCTTATCTTCCCCACATTGTGGCAACCCCCTAGAGAGTTTAGGTAACAAAATTCAATGAGAAATCAACCAGTTGCTTAAAAATTTTTTTTTCTATAAAATGAAATCTAGTTATTTTAATCTTTGCTAGGAGACTTAAAACATATTTCCTCTTGTTAAGTCACCAGCGTATCAGTAAAAAAAAAAGCCAATATATCCAAGTGCAAAAGGTAAACTGCTGGGGAAAATGCAAGTTCCAAAATCTCAGAAGCATTGCTTTTAGTCTTCTTGTTTATGTGCTGAAAGCTGACCCGGTACATCAGGCTGGGAAGAAAAATGGGAAAGAGGGCGAAATATGACTGACAGCCCCAGGAAGAATGAAGAAAATGTGGTTATGAATTCCCTGGAATTCTTCCTCTGTGGTTGATCTCTCCCGTGTCTCACGGGATGGGAGCCGTCTCCACCTCACACGTCCCCCTCTGTTCCTTGAGCCAAACCCTCAGGACAGGAGCAAATATTTCTCTCCTACCACCTGCCATCCCATTCTTTGCTGGCTTCAATGACTCCGGGGTTCCTTCCGTAGGCTGGAGAGGCTCAAGTCCCAGAGCTGACTCGGCTCACGTCCACAACACAGCAGCGTGCTCCAGGGTCTGCCAATGAGTTGCTCTATGGTCTTGAGCCCTTAACTTCCAAGTGCAGCTCAATTTCTGACAAAGCAGGAGGACAGACCATATCTGTGAGGCGGCAGGATGTGAGGGAAGTAGAATAGAATACTCTTTGGATGTTAGCTTTATTTTCGTCATTCCACCTCCCCTTCTGCCGGCCCAGGAAACACTCCCCATTTCTCTACAGGCTTTAGGAGCTGCCTTCAACTCCTGGAAGAGTTCGGTCCTGTCAGTCTGATTCGGTCACTCCCCCGACGTGTGAATTAAGCAGGCCAAGGGTGCCAGGCTCAGGTGGGCATGGCAGGAGAGTGACCGAGGGCAGGGTCTCCTGCCATTGCCAAGCAAAGTTCCCTCTAACCAACATGGTGTTACCCTAAGACCTTCAGTCTGGAAATGCTACCCATTCTCAAAGCCCAGCTCACAACCTTGACCTTGATCACCTGGGCTAGAAGAGACCGACCCCCATCAGAGCCCTTCTCTGCACCACGTAGAAGCTCGTATCACCGACCACCATGCATTCCATTTGTTTGCATAAGCATGTTGGTTTTCCTCCTCAACAGTCAGTTCCTCAAAGGCTGGATCTAAATCTCGTGCCGCCCTGCACCCCAAACAATACCTAGCCTAGTGCTTTGCACACATAAGGTGCTCAATAAACTATTTCATTTCTAAAATAATGGCTTCTTTAGTTTTGTACAGCTTTCCTAGGTTTAATGATTATAAAATATATTTGGGGAAATCTCTGAACACTTGGAAATTAAACAAAAGACTTTAAAATAATTAGTCATAAAGTTTCAAAGGAAATAAGAAAATATTTTGAATCAATAAAAGTAAAAACATAAAATGTCAAAATTTATAGGATGTACCTAAAGCAGTGCTCAGAAGAAAACAATGCTTATCTTAGAAAAGAAGAAAGGTATCTGCTTAATCATCTAAGCTTATACCTTAAGAACCTAGAACAAGAGAAGCAAAAGCAAGCCAAAGCAAGCAAAAAAAAAAAAAAAAAAAAAGGAAATAACAAAAGAACAGATATTGATGAAATAATAAACAGAAACAATAGAGAAAGTCAGTGAAATCAAAAGATGGTTCTTTGAAAAGATCAACAGAATTGATAAACATTGAATAAAAAAAGGGAAAGAAAATGCAAATCATCAATATTCAGAATGAGAG